TTCTTGATCTCACCAATATACCTTATCTCATTCTTCAGTTGTTGAATTGTTGTTGGCTTTTTGGCATAGACCTTATTTTTGAAATGACCCCAAAGGAAGAAATCTAAAGGTGTCAAGTCACATGATCGTGGTGGCCTATTGACTTCGCTGTTTCAAGATGTGATGTGACATGGGAACTTCTCATTGCATTTCTGTTTGAACGTCTATTTTCATAATAGGCTTTGATAACTTTAATATGTTTCATTGTTAATCGTTCCATGGTTGAAATTGACAAAAACTTAAGTTGTTAATTCTGAAAGAAAAAGAAAGAAAAATCATTAGACGCTTAAACTTAAATCACATTTAAAATCAGTCCAAGTTATTGGAACACCATTTTTATATGACTTTTTTTTTGTCTTTGTGTTTCTTGGAACATTTCCAGATGATGACAGACTAAAAGAATCTTTTTATTTATAATCATATATTGATAAATGTACTCTATAATGTGGTATGAAAATTGTCCAGATTTGAAATTTACAGCTGAAAAATAAAATTTAATTCTGTATCTGTGGTAGCAACTTCTATTTATTAACATAGAAGTCATATAAGAGTATGAGGTCTGATCAAAAAGTATTGGGACTGTTGCTATTGCAATGGAGCTAAAGTATACTGAGTGGAGGCACAGGTAGACTCTGAACTCTGTCACATATGCACACTAAGTTCTCATTTGCTTCCATTGTTTATAGCAGTGCTTGGAAGAAAACTGTGTAGAGTGTGGCCATCTCACCACACCACGGAGGTTCTATCAGCGACCATTGTGTAGCAGTTTTTGGAAAACCATGTTCCCCAGGTCCATCAACTACCCAGATCTTGCCCCTTGCGACTTTTCCTATTAAAATCAAATCTCATTTGAGAGGAACAAGATTAGAAGATGTCAAGGAAATCCAAGAGAATGTGATTAGGCAGCTGCTCATTATTCCAAAAATGGAGTTCTAGGAATGCTTTCATCAATAGAAATGATGCTGGATAATGTGTGTACCTGTAGATGGGGACTACTGCAAAGGAGATTAAATGCTGAATTGATATTTGTTGTAGTTATATTTTTATATCACCAATTTTAAGTACTTTTTGATCAGTCCTTATATATAATTGGTTGGTTTGTTTTTGACATAAGCCAATCATATACTCATACAGCAATCGCTATCACTTGACTTAAAATATTTTTTCCCTTCCTTGCCTTTAAAGGAGTGCCCTTTGCCGTGCTGATGTTGCTATATGCCTTACTTCTTGCCTATCTCACACTGCGAATTTTTTCTAAGCTCTATACTAAACATTATATCTGTTAAGAAAAAAAAAGTAAACAAAATGAACAGCTTTAAAAAAGGACTCATAACTGGAAGAACCGAATGAAAAAAGAATGTTAACAACAAATACTTTTTCACACCCAACCCAGTTCTGCGGAATCAGAATCAACGTTGAGTTTAAGCAAGCGAATGAGCGAATTGGAGTAAAGTGCCATGCAGATTTAAATTTTTCCCACTTGTGACGAATGCAGCTATGGATTTTTTTTGCATGCTAGTTAACATTCATGTCAGTCAGCTGTTGGCTCTCATGCTGGTCAATAGAATCTTCCTGCCTATTTGTAGCAGCCAGCTATAGGCTGCCGCCTCTAAGTGTTGACTTCTATGTTCACTTTTATATATGTATATATATATATATTGTATTGAGCACTTTTTTATTATTTTAGCTGTTGGGAGGGAGAGCTTTACTTTTGATCGTGGTAGATGCTATTTTCAGTACCCTAATTATTTTATATTTTAGGGTTTTTTTTTTTTTGGTTTAAGCATTTCACCCCAAGCAAGTCAGAAGTGCCATTATCACACAGGAAGTTATGGAGAGTGAAAATGAGAGAAAAGTGTGGGTGTAGGGGGGATTGAAGAAAGGAAAAAGAACAGGTATCATTGCAACAAAACATGGTGACTGATGTTGCATTTAGGTTTTTGATGATTGTAGTTATCAGGGAAGCAAGTGAGAGGAATGGAGTTCCAATATGGAGAAGTGCGAGGAAAGAAACTGTTAGAAGGGCGGTTACATTTAACTATTTCAACAGTAAAAAGTTGGGACCTAGATACCAATCTAGTAGTACACTTAAATTCATGTAGTCAGGGCACCAAGAAAAAAATGCTCATCAGTGCAGTAGCCATGAAAATATTTGTAGAAAAGACAGAGGGAAGCCACATCACGTCTGTGAGAAAGCGGCTGAAGTCAAGAAGCTAATTCAGTACCGATTACATTACAGATCCTACTTTAGATTTTTTTTGAGAATATTGCAATAAGGGAAGGTAGGGGAAAATTTTATGAATAAAACTTTTAAAACGGCAAGTAACCAGTAATAAAAAAATCACAGAAATGCAATCTATGTTGTTATTCATTTAAACATCATCATCATTTAATAGTAATAAAAAAAAAAATATAATATATTTAAAGTAATAATAATAGTAATAAAAGTAATAAAATTAACTATAATGTAAGCATATGCATGACATATATAAATGATTAAATACATCTATAAACATATCTATATATATATATATATATATATACACACAGATAGCTAGATAGATACACATATACACACACACACACACACACACATATATATACATACATATATATAAACTTACATAGTTACAAACCTAATATATATTTTTCAGTGTTTGATGCAAGATAAATGTCTATTTTTAAGACTATATAAACTTATTTTTATGATGACGTTTAAGTATAATTTCATTTCTCTGGTTCAATAACTGGCTTGTATTTTTGTACTTAATTATTTTAATTTTTTCTTCCAGGCATAGTTTGCATCTGTTTATATATATATATATATATATATATATATATATATATATATATATATATATATGAATTAAGATCAAATATAGATAGGACTGCAAGAGAATGATAGGATAAGGAACAAATAGGAAATCTTTAATAATCTGACATGCTTTGCTTTTATTAACACTTGAGATGTGGAGGTTTATTTTCCACGAGGGTCGGCCAGGTGAAGGTGAGAGGGGGGGAGCACGTCACTCTCTTGGTGAAAGAAATCGGCTGTGTTTATGTCGACTGCTGTTAGCATTGTAGTTGGTTGGCAATATCTTTTGGTTGATGACTAAAAATTAACTTACGCATTTTGACTGTGCACATGGGTTTCATTTGGACACCATATGTATTTAAAGTAGTTTCCGGTTATTATTTTTAGTTAGGAGGAATTGTGTATGTTTAGGTTTCATTTGTTTACTTTTTGTGTATTGTTCTCTGAAAAAAAAATGCTGAGTCACCGGAAGTTAATGGCCTTCGGATGTTTGAGTAGCCGGCAGTAACTTCCGGCCAGGTGTGATAGCCTTACTCGTGCTTTCAAATTGATTTTGTGCAAAAACAATTGTGTTTTTCCTATTTTGGGCACTGTCAGAACCACTGCCGGGTAATTTTACGTAGTCCTGTGAAGTTTTGTTGAAATCGGTTGAAAAATGTAGGAAATACAATCCCATATATAAACGAACAGACACACACACAATCTACATTTTATAATAAGTAAGATGATGTTATTTGGGAAAATGATCTGTATATTCTACAAAGTTAAAAAGATATAAGAATCTAATGGAATGATTTAAAAAAAAGCTTGTTTGGATTATTATTTTAATACTTTTTTATTTATTTACTTTTTTTAATCAGGATGACATGTCAAGTACAACAAGTGCCCCTATTGAAGATAATCTTCGCAGTGAAACCCCACCACAGAATAACACCCGCAGGTATGGGCGGGGCAAAAATCGTTTCCGGAAATCCAAGCTGCAGTACAAGTGTGTCAATTATCTTAAAGTAAGTTTGCGTTCTTTTTTCATTTGTTTTATTTTTGTTTAGTCTGTGGTCCCTTTTAGGGCCACAATTTCACAGAGGAAAACTTTTCAGGTATTGAAGACCACTTGCAGAATTGTGCAACAGTGATTTCATTAAAGTAAAAAACCTTTTAGATGTTAAAGCAGCCATACAACATTTTCCCTTTTAACAACACTGTCAGTTTCTGTCGATCTTTATTTACTAATGACATGTTTATGTAATCAGGAATAACACAGAATTTATTATATATAACTATTGTGTGTGTATATATATATATATATATATATATATATATATATATATATATAATTTCATTCTCGATGTAATGTATGTGTAGGGTGGAAATAATCAGTTATATTTTGATACCAGTTATTTGAATCTGGTATATCTAAACAAGGTTTTAGCATTTCTTTGGACTTTACTATAACTCCATCACATCCACTGTTTAACATTAATCATTTTTTGCATTGATATTAATATTTCTTGATAATGTAAATGAGTTTACTATAGAAATGCATTGAAAATTAGGAAGAATGGGATTGGCAGTAATCAGGAATTAATGTAAGTATTATTGACAGAATCTGGCTATTATATGGTAAAAATATTGACATGTTTTGTGTGTATAGACTATTGATAAAACATTGCTTCAAATTGTGTGGAAGTGATTGATTGGTTGGATATGAACTGTGATAATAAAATTGATTAGGTTTGTTGAGTCAATGTGCATGATTTTATTTCTTAATGAAAAACATTTGTTTGGTTGGTTTGAGGATAATGTGAAACTAATTACAAAAGCATTATTTAAAGAAAGTTGCAGAGAAATGTTAAAAATATTTTCTGATTTTTAAAGATTCTTGTATCACTATATATTCATCTTCATGTTTGATATTATGTGCAGTATTAAGTATGTAGCACTTTATACTTCATTTCCAAAAACACTTTACTGCAGTTGAAAAGAAAAATAACACTACATTCTGTGATGTGGCATTATCATTCCAAGAATTGTTTGGACTATTGAACACATTCTTTTTGTTGCAGGTGTTGTTAGCACAGTCTTTTAATTTGGCTTTTCTCAATTGCATCAGAAAAGCTCTCAAGACAGACTATATTTGGAGGGAAAAGGAATCACACTACTCTGTCCCCCCCTCTCTAATATATATATGTGTGTGTATATATATATATATATATATATATAGTTATGAATTTGCAACATATAATGGTATGAACCTCAGGTTCAAAAAGAAAAAAAGGTGGATTTCATCAGATAGGAGCACACAAACTGGTACTGACAAACAACAAAAACAAGATCAACATTTGTAAATAAATTTTATATAGCAAAATACAAAATATGGGAAAAGTATGGAGTGACAGAAGTACAATTAATAAAAGAACGATTAACTGATATTGGATGTCAGTTCAAGCGTTTGTGTTTCAGGAATTTGGTGTTTGAAGGTTCATAATGACAGTTGCTGTAGAATGTTCACAAAAGTTGGTTGTAAACAATGTGAAATATAGAATTCAGGATTAATGTTCTTGGTTAATTGGATTGCATCCGACATGAAAATACAATTATTTCTCTGTATTTCTTAGGATATGATCGTCCTTTATCCATGAAGTAGTCAAATTAGACCCAAGATATCCAGGATGAAATTTCCTTATTCCCTACACAACAAGTAATGGAATAGGCTTATGGGTATATTTCTCATCCCTTACGATCACATGATGAGTCTATTTTTCTTGTGAACTGTTGTTGTCGAACATTACGGGGAGACTAAAGTGACAATACCAAAATCTCACTTGGTTATGTATGTCACAGGAGTGTAGTTGACTGAATCTTACTCGCTTTCTTAGGAGGTCATCTGTTTGTTGTCCAGCAATTCCAAATTCCCTTCTTGACCTTTCTTTCCCGGAACAAGACTCAGCCCAGATAGGTATTAAACCAAAACAAAGGAAGGAAAGGATAAGTAGAAACACAGACAGCATGTCTCTTATCAAATCTATTGTACGTCTGAGGGCCATGTCCCACCTCCCCACCTTAATAAAAAAAAAAAAAAAAAGAGAAAACCATTTTTCTTAAGACAAGGGTTATGCTAGATATGGGGTAAGGCGTTACTGCACACATTGTCAACATTTTTAATGTGGTATATGGCAAGATCATATACTTGAAATGCCAGCCTCCAACATAACAATCTTCTCTTTATTTTTCATCCTATTTCAAAAGTTTATAATGGAATACCAAGCCTTGATGGAAAGAATCTCTGTCCTCATCTAATTCAGATACAAGTGTAGACCTATTGGCCACTAATATAGCATCAATCTTTCCCCTTTCATAATAGTGCTTTATCATATCGATATGATACATTTCACTGAGCAAGAAAGGTAAGGGTGCCATCTTGCACATTTAATGCAGCAGCTTCTGTATGGAATACATCAGGACTGTAGGATAATCAAGATCCAATAACATCTGTATCATCTGGTCCTCTACCTCAAGTCTTTCAACTAATTCCTGCTCCATAAGTACAACCAGGGCAGCATGACTAACTGGGTTATCATTGTCACTGAGGTATTTCACAACAAGAGGGAGAATGTAAATGGCAACAGCATTTTGGAAAGAAATTCCTGTTTTTTTCCTGTACATTGCCACATGAGGAACTTGTTCTACCTGATCAGAGTGAGTGGTTGGTTCAACATCCCTTGACAGGCGTACTATGGCCCATAGGACAGCAATACAGTCCTCTTCAATGCTGCCAGCTACACATAAAGTTTCTAGAATTCCTCTTGCTATCAACTCCTGGCTGAATGTATTGTAAAAATCAAGACAATTTCCAGCTTTTGAAGTGATGTAAGGTTGTCATCTGAAGAAAGATTTGCCAAAATTTTCATCTTCCAATCCATATCCTAAAGATAAATTATTTTCTGGAGTATCTTCCAATTCCTCCTGATAGAAGATGATGTCCACCAATGTTGTAGGAAATCACTGCCCAGTCTTCTGAAGCTGGGATATGTGGAAGTCTCCACTTTATCATCAGCACATTGTTTTCAACACAGTATCCTGTTGGAACTTTCTCTAACACTTCTTTTGGCAATGCATGATTTAAAGGTAGAATAATTTCAGGATTCTCTCCCTTGTTCTATCCTGAGTGTTCTCCTTGATAGAGAAACATCTATCGAGGTGACCGTTTCATCTACTAATTTGGGATGGATAGTTACCTTACCACCAGCTAACTCATTCCCTGGCAACATAGATATGCCTTTCATAAGCAGACTAGAAATGACACCAACAACAATAGGTCCTAACACTAAGTCTAACCTCATGAATTTAATGTAGAGAGACACTAACAAACTCACTACCAACACCCTGTAATAACAACAAATTTGCCTGTGGATGAATTTGACCCATGCAGCATTGAACTCTTCAACATTAGAGATTGTGTAGCTCCTGGATCTCGTAAAATTTTGATTGGTATCACCCACAAGTGAAACAGATCCATCTGTCACAAATGGCCTGTATTCCTCCCTTAGCTCTTCAACAACACATACCCAACATAACCTTGGTTAGAAGAATTTAACTCCTGGGGTTTATTTTGGCTTAATGCCTTGATTTCTTTGGTCCAACAATTTGGCACAATGTGCCCGACATTATTACAATATTAACACATTGGAAGTTTCTGACCCCATTTGTTTCCTTGCCAAGGTCTTGATGACTGGGAATTATTATATATATGTATATGAGGTAAATGACCGATTAGGACCGAATGATTGGTCCAACTGAACTAGCTCCATGTCTCAGACCAAGACCACTTCCAGGTCTGAATGGACTGCTGTATTTTAATGTGTTGTATTTATGTATTAACACATATTCATCCGCAAGAGTGGCCATTTCGTATACAGTATCTACTTTTCTTTCCACTAGGTATATTTTTATGCTTTCAGGAACACATTCTTTAAACTCTTCTATTAGAATCAGTTGCTTTAGTCTATCATGCTCATCTTCAATATTTCTCGACTGGCTCCACTTGTCAAAATAAGTTTCCTTACCACTTAAAAACTCAAGGTAAGTTTGTCTGTTGGTTTTCCGTAACTTCCTGAATATTTGACAGTAAACTACAGGCACTATTTCATATATTTTAAGGATGGTTGACTTTAGAATATTATAATCAGCACAGTCTTCTACTAACGAGGAGGCATATGAGTCTGTAGTTACATGAGACATTTGGTCATTGGGCATTCCAAATTCAAGTGAAAACCTATAAACAAATATTTACTTAAGCTTTATTTAGCTGGAGGCAAAAATTGTTGCCGTAGAATTCTCTCCCTTTTCATCACTAGGGGCATTCTGTTGCATCTAGAGGATTGCTATAAATAAACACTTGTCAACTGTTATTTCCTGTATTTTAAACTGGAAATAGCTTACTACCACTTTAGAATGAGACTAAACTTCTGTTTTCTGACACCATTTTGAATTCTTCTACACTCTATATAATTCTACTACACTCCATATGAGGTGTAACATTGATTAAACCTATGTTAATATTTTTGTGATGTGTGTTTTTTTTTTTTTTTTTTTTTTTTTTGTAACAAAAATGGTTGCATTAACATCCAATGAAGCTTTTATTCAGGGGGTTTTCTTTGATTCAGACTCCGATGATGATTTTAAAGGCTTTAATTAAGTGGATATTGGCATTGAAGTGGTCTGAGATAACTATGCTAGTGACGGGGAGAAAAAAACTAGGTACCAAGTGGCTACTATCATCCAGGGTTGACTAATTTTATGGAACCTACTGACCCCATGGATGTACCTGATAGCCCTTCTGAAGGTGAATTATTTTGTTTATTTATAAATGACAAAATAATAACTTCATTTGTCAACAAGACAAATAAATATGCTAGTTAGATGAAAGAAAGAGTAAACAAATGCTGGTGTTTACTCGTATGTAAATACATGGAAGGAAATCACTTTTGGCAAAATGAAAACCTTAGCCATTTTGCTTCTTATTGCACATCAGGAGTGATAAAAGTTAAAGTATGTTTTAATTGCTAATATATTTGTTTTTATTTTTTGTTTTCTGTGTCAAAACATGCATGCAAAACTTAATGCATTACATCAAAATATTACTAATCCTTTCTTTTATTAATATACAAAAAAATAAAATTTATAAACACAATACAAAGTTATAACAATTTTAAAACGGGTGCTCATGTTTTTTGCACACTTAAAAAAAAAATGCAGTGGCAGGGGTAACGATTCTAGAAAGAATTTAATGGAGTAATGGTTAAGAAATAAATAAAAAACAGAATACATCTTTATTTCTCAAACTTAAGAAAACCACAGAATATTCAAGAAAACATTCTCCTAAAAATTCCCCAAAAATCCTGTCTGTTATTTTCTGTATAATATTTCTGTGTGTACATTAAACTTAGAGATTATATGGTTTGGTTTATTTTCTGAATATTTAGAAAGAAAGCATTCTTCCTATTATTAGTTTTACTAAGATTTAGTACTTTTATTACTGGATGTGTGTAGAAATGGAATTGGTAAGTTGAGTTCAAATTCTGGTTGGGGCTGTTATGGGAAAGTCATGAATCCATCTTTTCTTGTCCAGCTATGGATAAAATAGTTTGACAAACTCTATTCTAGAACAATCAGTGTAGAAAGACAACTCAAAATGTAAAACTGTTGAGAAACCATTTCACTTCCAAACAGTCATGGCAGTTCAAAACCTGCAGTTCTTAAAGGAAGCTGTAGAGAGCTATGATCACCTATATGTAGGTATACAATGCGATCCTTGCCCAATCTCTCCACTGATGGGCCAATGATCACCCTACATTGCATTCCAATTTTTGATCTGGTCAGTGTTTATCAAAAACTCTGGAAAAGTGCACTGCATGCATACAAGGTAACATGATGAAAGACAAATGCCATGTCGATAAATAAGAACATGAACCCGGTTTCCCATATTGTACATATGTAGTTGTTTATTCAGGACTTTGCCTGCTTGTCCAGGTAGGTGATAATTTGGACAACTTCTGTTATATCAGCTCTTCTCTCTACTTACACCTTATCTATCTACTCATCCTGATGTGGTGGCTGGCAATATGAAATGGAGGCTTCAGAACTGTGACACTGACTTGCAGACCAGAACTCTCCTTGATCCCAAACCTGATTGGTTAATATAGTCCAGCACCCGGATATAGCTTATTTCCAGTTTCATTGCCACTTGATCTCTGAAAATACTTTTACTTTCAATTCCCCTTCAGTTAAAGTGGATGATGCTTAGAGGACTGAAATTGAAAAGCAACCATCCACTGGTCTATTAAACAGAAATACTTGAGATTGAGATGAAAAACTGTCTCTCTCCCCCTCTACGTGGGTGCCAATAGTGTCACATATACTTGAAGGGACAGGTTTGTTTTTAATTTTGACTACTATTTTGTTATTAGTTTTACTCCATCTTTATTAAACAGGGTGACCTACCAGAAAAAAACAGGAAATTTGGTATAGTTTATTTAATTGTTGGAATTTTTGCGGGATATTGTTCCAAGCTTCTATCAACACAGTGTTTAAGGATTGTATGTCTCTGATTGCTCTCCTCTGTAACTGAAGTTGATGTAACAATAAACCCCACATAGTAAAATTTTTTTTCATTATTTAGTAAATCTAAAAAATTTTTTTTTTTTTTTGGGTCACCCTATAGTTACTTTTTATCCCAGCATTCTGAGTTCAATACACTTTTTTATAACATTTGAAATTCTGAAAAGTCTAACATATTATGTATGATTTGTTTATTGATCCTTTAGTTAGGTTTTTTTTTACCTGTCCAAGATTATTACTAAATTTAGAGAACTACTTTTATTCACAAGGCCTTTCTCTATTACTGGGAAGTTCAAGAAAGAGACATTGCTATAATGATAAAAATTATTTTCTTACTTTTATTAACCTTTTTTAATTTATTGGAATGTTTGTAATCTTTTTTTTCCCATCTATTTTTAGTTTGGGATACAATAATGTTTTTGTTTTTTATTTTTAAATTGATTTTTATTTCTATTTTAGGAGGATCATGCTCAACCAATATTTGGTGTTCAGGTGAATCACAACCACAAAGAGGGTGATAGCATCATTTTTGCTACCGTTGGTAGTAATCGAGTAAGTTTTAATTTTTTATAATCTTCAATTTTCTAAAGAAGTAAATGATTTTTTTTTTTTTTTTTTATTAATACGACACTTTTATCACTTTAAACATTATTTTTAGTGGATACTCATGTTTGAGTAGATGCTCTGTTTAGTTATTAAACAGTATATATATTTATTTTCTGAGTGCACATTTTTTTAAATTAGATTTCTTGTATATTCAATCCAGTAGATGAAAATATGTAAATATACTGTTTAATAAATAGATGGAGTGTCTTCTTGAATATGAGTATCCAATAAAAATAACATTTAAAGTGATAAAAATCTTGAATTTGTTTATCAAATTGCTTGTTTTTGCTATTCATTTTGGATTGCAATTATGGACCCAAAGAAACTTATTTAAAAGATTTGTCATATTTGATTGTTTAATATTATTTTAGAACTAATGTTCTTATCTTTGTTGTTGTTGTTATCATGTTTCAGCTTTTGTGGTCTCCAGCCTTTTTCAGGTGTCTGTTGATCTGGGTAATCTTCAGGGAATTTTGAACTCAGCCCTTTATTTAATCTACATGGATAGAGTGTTCTTGTTCCATTCTCCATGTCTTGGACTTCTTATTTCTGTTCAGTTATTGCTCACCTTGTTGCTACTGAGTCTAAGTCTGTACTAGAACTTCACACTAAGCAGCTTAATTCCTACTAAGCACCATTTAGTAATAGTCTATTTCAAGAGTTGATTATGAATAATTTCTGTTTCCTATTTCATATATTACATTTCTGTTGCCTTTTATTGCAAATCTCATATCATTATTCTTCAGGCTTACGGCCATATCACGTTGAAACACCGGTTCTCGTACGATCACCGAAGTTAAGCAACGTCGAGCCTGGTCAGTACCTAGATGGGTGACCACTTAGGAATTCCAGGTACTGTAAGCTTGGATGTGCGGGTAATGTAATGGAATGACTCGTAATTGGAAATTGGAGAGCAGAGTTCCAATTCCAGTAAGTTTCGTTATATTCACTTATGTGCGAATACCCTTGGGGGAACGTATGACTCTACCTCTTCAACACCCCACACCCACCCACCACCACCACCACCAGTTATAGATTAATTAATTGGACTTGTATCAGTAAAAAAAAAAAAATCATTATTATTTAAGAAAATATTCCTAAAATTTAAAAATATTTTCTGGCTTTTACTAACCTGCAAAAGGTTGATAAACCATAAAAAAAACAACCAATCAATCGTTCTACAACTGTTATGTTAGCAATGGAAACAACAAATAAACCTCAAGCAAAATTTGAAGTTTTATCACTTTTCTTTGGGGGGGGGGGTCTGTCTTACAAAGATCTTACTGTCAGATCTTGTTCAAACAAGCTGACCAGCTGCATTCTGTTACTCTTTAGTTTCTTGCTCACTTTCTTTATTTTAATATGATAAAATATGCCAAGGTGACTATCTTTGCACTTTTGGTAAATTGGTTCTTTCTTTTGAACTTGCTTTCACACAGACATGTACTGTGAAGTGTTCAATAAACACTTCAATTTCCTCCTTAAACCATATTTGTAAATTCACTCAGAAAATACTTACAGGTTCTTTTTCCTGTCTTAATTTCAGGCTGCCAAAAACAGTCAATTGGAAGCCATTGTTCTTAATTTGTTCATTGACTTGAAAAACCAAATACATCTGTTGAATTAGAATTGGTGTGCATTTTGCCACAAGCACTTTTGTTGTTGACATTTTTTGTCACCATTCTAACTCTATTGTAAATCTGAAGCAGATAACAGAAATAAAAGAACCTTTTTCCTTAGGTTAATGCATTGTTTTCTCAACCTCTTTTACTTCAGGGCACATTTGTAAAATAACTAAAACTCTGGGGCACACCTTAAATTTTAAATTGTAAGGGTTTCCCTGCCTGGAAAATCAGAATTTGATGCCTTTGTTTTTATCTGGACTCAAATACTGATCTGATGCCAGCAGGAAATGCACAACGATCCAACACTCAAAACAGCTCAGATATTTATTAGACTTTTCTGAATTTGGAACAAAGCCAAACAGGTAAGCATAGGAATAAAAAGATTGTGTTGATATGCCTGCCTTGAAAATCAGAATCTGAAATTCTAGTTTTTTACCTCAGCTTGAAATCAATGTTTTTAATAGCAAATACACAGTTATCTGATTCATCAAGTAGAGCAAGTGTCGAGATATGTCCATAGTCTGACACAGAGCTACAAGATCAGAGCACCTTTTGAAGTCTAAACTTAGTGAATGGTCAACTGTTGTTGGCATCATCACTATGTATAGCAATATACTACTAAGTTTATTCTAGTCTGACATAGGTCCACAAAAGCAGAGAAATTCTATCACTTAAGGACTATAGATAGCACATAACTTGAAGAGAAAATAACTCCTACTCTTTAAAAACCATTAAAACAAGCTTATTATAATGAATATTAAAAAAAGAATAATGTTCAGATTTCCAGAGATGAATTCTGCTTCTACAAAATATTTAAAATATTGTAGTCATTAAATTGAATTCTTTACCAAATCAGATTGTGATATTATCTCCAGATAATGTAAATATGTCTACTTAGAGTAAAGTAATTGTAATTTGTGGTTACTGTTAAGACTTTATCAGTCTTTGTCTTTTGTTGCCAACAGATTTAAATTAATCCAGATTACTGACTTACCTGTGGTTGATTAACCCACATGAGGGTTGGTTGACAAGTTATCTTTGTCCTACAGGGATGACCAAACTGTTACTTGTGAGCCATATGTGGCTCTTTGACAATAATGTGGCTCATGGAAATTTTTTTTGTCACAGGTAAATTCCTGTAGTTCATTACTGTAAAAATGTGCTCAATATAATTAAAATAACCATCAGTCAAGATTTTGAAAATATTTGGTGTATATATATATATATATATAGTGGGTGGGTACTTTGTGATTACTGAAACCAATATCAATTAAATTTTAGAAAAAAAAACTGCATACATGAATAAATATTATTGCATATATACATTTCTTATTATTTATGTGTAAATTTTGTTCATGCCTTATGGCTTCAAACATCTGAACTTTATGTATGTGGCTCTTATATTAAGCAAGTTTAGCCACCCTGTGATATAATTTCACAAATTGACATGTTGCATAATTACTTATGCTGTACAGAAAATAATGTAAATTATCTTACTAAACTAATGTTTATATTTTCATCATGTGGTACTATTTGTGCCTCCTGTTGTTAAACGTGACTTAGACCACATCGTCAGCAAAATGTAGACATTTAAAAATAGCAGTGGCCATGAAGAAATATTCATACAAAACTGAAGGACTTTAATATTTTATGATTTGAAAATTATTTTTTCCTCTAAAGAAATTGTGAGCTTAAAAAAAAAAAGTTTCTTTAAATCATTGGATATGTATGCAGGTGCACATACAATCTGTGAACGACTAGAAATTGGTAGACAAGATATCCTGCTGGGATGAAGTTCATGCATTGACAGGTCATATAACTGCTTATGGAAATAATACAATTTCATTTTTCTGCCTTGGTAACGAATTCTAGATTTAATCATTTTCACTTATTCAATGTAGCATCTATTACAAAAAGCTGCTGCTAATTCTATTTTTTTAAATTGTAGCCCAATTTGCATATCTAGGCTTCTGTTCGTATTTGTTTTGGAAATGCAAATTACAAGATTATTGCATTATTTTTCCTCAACATTATTCCATAAAATTTTCCTCTACGTGACTCGGAAAAGAATTATACCATTAATTTAAATAATCTATTTTGTTATATTTTATGAAACCAGAATGTTCAATTATTAAATGTTTTATCAGTTATAAATTTATTTGTAATGAAACTAAGTATTTCTTCATTTTTTGCTAAATGAAAACTAAATCTTAATTTTTCACAAATATTTTAACAGCTATTTTACTTTTTTAATGATTAAACATAGTAGAAATATTTCTTTCAGAAATGCCTATGAAATTTATAATGAAGTTTTTGTTAAGGAAGAAAAATGTTGCTTGTAATTTGTCATTGTAAACAAAAACAAAAAACCTTAAATCCTCAAATGATTTTTCTTTCTCTGTGCAGGTAGCTGTATATGAATGTCAAGAAAATGGCAAAATCAAATTGCTTCAAGCTTATGCAGATCCATCTGTATCCTTTTGCTATAATAAATATCATTGACATTTCATGAGACAACCTCTCTTTCTCTTAGCATTATTATTTTATTACTACATCAACATATTGCTGCTTTTTAAAATAAGTATTTTTATTATTATTAATAGCTTACCTTTTAGATAAAGTGTTTTCAGGAGTATCACAAGTTTTAGTTTGTTATTGTTTTTTTAAAGATGAAGCCTTATTTTATCATTAGTTATATTACATCTTATGGTTACTCTGTCCTTATCTCTCTCATGAGTCAAAACATTGTTCTACTCATAAATTCTATCACAAATACAATTGAAAAGAATTTATCTTAGCCTAACATAAAATTTGTTACAACTACTTCTAAAAAAAAAAAAAAAAAAAATACAAGATTTAATACAAAACAAAATAACAACCTAAAAACTAAAGCAGAAAATTTATCTATAGCCTGTAATGACTGTCACAATGAATACATAGGAGAATTCTTGAAATTAAATAAGAGATTATATGAACAGAAAAGGGATATTTTACAAAAAAAAAAAATACTCAATGCATTAGTTGCTCACCATAATGAGTCTAAACATAATTAATCTAATTAAGAGAAAGTAATTTACGAAGATGGAAATATATAGAAAGTGCTTTAATCACTAGATCATTCACAGAAAATTCATGTCCAGGTTCTTACAACATTTCTCCTTTCTTGGCAGATCTATTATGACTGTAGAATATTTAATAACAAAAGTGATGGAAACATGAAAAAAAAGAAACTAAATGAAATTGGCTAGACTAAATACCAAAATGCATACTTAAACAAATCTAAAAGTTCTTGAAAATGAAAAATTTTAGAAAAAAAATGAAGTTCAGTTTCATAAAGAGCAGAACAAATTATGTTAAGAAAATCGATTTCCCTATAAAAGTTACATTCATTAGCATAACTGAATTTCAACAATGAAAATACATAAGATTGAGACTTCTACAAGGTGGTAAATGAAAAAAAAAATATGGTGGAAAGAATTGCAATATGTCTGTAACATCTGAGCATAATTTAATCATGATGCTTCTATGACTGAAGTGGTTAAGACAATGTCCATGAAAGATGATTTTCTGTGAGGTATGATGTGTGTGCATCTTTTTATTCTGATTTCACGCTGTCCAATTGTTGGAAGATATTCAATCTTGTGACAACATGGAATGGAAAAAAAAACAACAAAAAGCACTTGGAATTCAAACAAGACTGCATTATTCTTTCGGTGTTTAGAGTTTGTAGTATTTACATAGAGAATGCTTGGTATATTTGATTTAAATATATTTCATCTTATTGTTATTTTTTATCCCAACTCATATTGCCACTTTGTTTACTCTTGATATTTGATAGTATTGTTTATTTTTTACTATCTAGTTATAGTTTTTAAATTATTTTGAATAGGTGTGTGGCTGCATGTTAGCCTTCTGACCATTAGACCTGTGTTTGAATCTCATAGTTGCTTTGTCAAGGGATTGTCTTGATGTTATTGTCCTGGGGAAGCAATCCCATTGTTGTAGCACAGATGAGAAATGCCTGAAAACCATACCATGGCAGTTGATCCAAACTTTGTGAGTGAAATTGGGTAGGTAAATATGTTCGGAAGCTGTTTATGTTTTTGGTGTATGAATAGTTGGGATTGTTATCAAACATTTGCAATTGAATCAGGTTTCGACATTAAATGACACATAAGGATGTTGATATACCATTAACCAAACTAAAATTATTTTGAATTTTGAGATGAAATATTTTCATTTTTGTATAGTCTTTTCTTAATGTCATCATTGCTTTTTTTTTTACAAATTTAAACCAAGTCACATGAAATTGGAATAAAGAAATAACTCCCATACTTCTTGCATATGTGGCAAGAGTTCAGACTATTTCTTAGAAAATACATCTTTATTCTCTCTTTACACATTTTATTTAACAATTGAATAATATTTGACCAAGAACATTGCAATAAAAAGCAACAACAAGGTAGAGAAAACTAGACAAAATACTAAGACTTCATCATAGAATTTTTTTTTTTTTTTTTTTTGTCCCTGTTGCTTGGGGTTCGTTTCATACAGGAAAGTATTTGTTCCTTAGTTTCTCTCTAGACTGATGAAAATTTCTATTGTTGTGCCTGGACATTTGATGATGTCACTGGGCAACCTCTGTTGGCTACAGCAGGCATGAGAGGAATTATCCGTATTATTAGTCCCGTTACTATGCAGTGTATCAAGGTAAGTCAGTCACATTTATCATTGATTGAGTCTTTTGAGGCATGAAATAATTTGTCATGGTTGTAATCATTATTAGCAATTGTGACAGTAATTCTTTTATTGTAAAAAATAAAAAAATTTTGGTAATACTGATTTGATGTCTTCCTTTTAAAGGCTTTTACTACTAAAAATGTGTTTCAGGGTTCTGATCAAAGGGAACTTTGAAAATGTTAAATATAGTGTCTTTGGGTGCTAACATTGAACAATATCTCAACATAATAATTTGATTTTAGCTTACATAATGAAAATAAAGAAAAATATACCTTTTGTGCTGTTAGACTCAACCACTTATTAGAGTAGAGCTTCGAAAAATGAAAAAAAAAAAAAAATAAATGAAAGGAAAATTAAAACTTTTAGCATTTAATAGGGAAAATTTGAATAGTGAAATTACTCTAATTTAAATTTTTCTTTTTTCCCCATTTTTCTATCAATAAAACAGAACTTCATTGGACATGGCAATGCAGTTAATGAATTGCGATTTCATCCCAAAGATCCAAACATGATGTTGTCTGTCAGTAAAGGTAATTTGTTTTAATTCCTAGTGTGTATCTAAAATCAAGTCACTTAATATCTAATCTCTGCCCTTTAAAAACTTTGGAGATATCAATTGTGTGTATATATATATATATATATATATATATATATATATATGGGAGGGATAAGACAAAGTGGGGAAACTATTCAGCTATGCATTTTGCCTCTGAGAGTCTGTGTGTCTTCAGCCTGGAATGAGAGACATATTTGTATATGAGAAAACAGGAATATAGGGAAGAAATAATAAAGATCCTTATCAAACATCGGAGCTGGAGTGTTGGCGTTTTTTGTACTGAAGCCAATAATGTCCATTGGATTTTAAATTCTGCTCACTCAGTAGTTTATTCTCTATTAGTTTGCATGTCATTTGACTTATTTTTGTGATGATGGATGCTATTATGTACAAGACCTGTCTTAGGTTGACCATAGAGAGTTATAAGATCTGTGCACTTACAATGTATTTTCTCTTTTTATCAACACTGGCATGTTTTTTTTTAGGTTGATATTGTGTTAGGATGAACTACTATTGTATTTAAAGTGTTGTTCTGTAGTCGGTCCCTTCAATGCTCATAGTTTCATACCGAATGCATGATGACATCAGTGAGCTAAGAAAAAAAATAGGAGGGGGGGGTTGTGTTCTCTAATTTGAATTTGAATTTAGACAGTCTTGGTAGAAAGCAAGTCTTGTACAAATCTCTGGAGTGGGGTGGTCAAGTTTAGAGTGGGGAGCTTTTTCTATCAAAGGTGCAATTGATACTGATGCATGATAATCAGAAGGCTTGGCATTACAGAGAATCATTAGAGAAAAAGTCTTATTTGCTGAAAATCATTATGGAAGAATTTTTGTATTCCATCAGTATAATATAACTATTCATAATTCTAGGGTCACTGAGGGAAGAGTTTGAATGCATCATGGTTGTGGAATAGGCTACAATCTCAACTCATATCTGGAATAGATGGGCCTGGCACTAGCCTTTTTCTTTTTCTCCTCTACTTTACTCACTCTTATCCCACCCTGATGCTTATTTCCCACTTTTTTTTTTTTAAAAAACCTGTCTATTTATTTTGACCTCTTCCTTTGTTTTTGTAACAAATTAATTTTGAATGGATTTTCCTGCTAACACTATTATTTGAACCTAAGCCTCTGAAGATGGGAAGGTGGCTTGAGAATTGAAACAGCTTAATCTCTTCTGTAAAGCATTACTGGAATGAAATTCCTCCTGAAACACTGGAAAAATATTGTCTTCAATGCAAAAAAGGTTTTTTAAAACCAAGACTATGGAAGAAGGGCAAATACAAGAAGTCTTCCATACCACAAGTTCCTGGTGAAATTAGTTGATGCGATTCTTGAGTGGCTCAAGAAGCTGTTAGCAAAATCTGGTGCCCATATCAAATTTTAAATAAAACCTCACGCTAAATATTTTCCTCTCATATCCATTTCTTATAAATTATAGCTATTATACTTTTCAATCATTCTGTGTAAGAGCAGATAAGTAAAAATTAATATTAAAATCAAATTCTTCATCCATATTTTTACTCCTAAATTTATTCTTTGACCAATATTTCAAGTTTACAATCTTGATTTGATGGGTATCTGATAATTCTACACCCCCATTGCTTTATTTCCGATTAGCATAAATAGGAAAATGATTTTAATATCAAAATAAAAAGTAACAAACTCATTGAAAAGTAATAATGAAAATGTTTCCTCTAATTAAGACATTTTTATTTAAAAAAAAATAAATAAAAAGATAACATTTTTATATTCTTAATTTTTTTTAAGTAACCTTTTCTTTTTCGCTTTAAGACTTGTATAGTAACTAAATCTAAAAAATAATGTTGGTAATGTCTTATTTCTTCAGACCACGCCTTACGGATATGGAACATCAAAACAGACATTTGTGTAGCGATATTTGGTGGAGTAGATGGTCATCGAGATGAAGTTCTTAGTGCGGTTTGTATAAAAGCAGTTTTAGAATTTTTTTTTCTTTTTCTTTACATTAATCTCCTTGAACTTTTGTTCTTGTCTTGGTTATTATAGCCACTACACTGCAGTCGTTGTGTACTCCATCTGTCTGGGAATTTCAAACCAATCACTTGAATTATTCTCCGGGGGTTCAAAGAAAGAAAAACAAAAAAAAACCAAACAAACAAAATTTCCCTCTAAACATGATTATGTATGATTTTAGACCCAACAGATTTACCTTTAGGCAATGGCTGAAATCTTGGCACTATAACAACCATGATAAAGACTTCAGCTTGATGTATAATATTCCCTGTCTTAGAAACTTGACAGATTAAAATTATTTCCTAATGACCCCAGAACTTACCGGCAATCATTCTCCCCATCTTCATTTTAGCTGATGTCATTTGAAATCCTGTTGATTACTGGAGCATGAACGCCAATCCCTAGTGCAACACTATATAATGTTCATATTCACGATGTTTCAACTGTTGTACACTCTGTCCTTCTTCAGGTGGTATACATTGGAATTTCAAACCAAACCCCTTTTATAGTATAGGGTAGTGTGTTCTAGTGCCATGGATATCTCAGTTTTTCACCTCTACTGTGGCCAGAGATTGAACTCGCAACTCTTTGGGTCTACTTCAACCAACACTTATCCACTGGGCCATGTGTTCTTGGGGACATTGTAAATAAACCTCATCACAGAAATATAGATAGATGTTAAATATGAAAATATTTTTTTTCTTTTACATTTTAAATGTTCTTCAACTAACATCCTAAATTAAAGATTTTTATGTTGACACTACAAAAAGTCAATTTGCTAATATAATTTTAATTACTTGGCTCTGAACTTGTTATTGTTTATAGAAACATTACTTTGCTGATGATTGTTTTGAGCAGGATTTCAATATTGATGGCAGTTTTATTGTCTCTTGTGGAATGGACCATTCTTTGAAAATCTGGAACATCAAAACAGAAAGCATTGTAAAAGCCATGAAGGATTCTTATACATATAACAGCACAAAAAGTAATAGGTAAGTATTTATACACTTGATTTTTATATGATTCAAACTGTAGACCAAATTTTTTTTTTCTCTCTCTCCTCAGTCTTTGGGTTGATTAAGCAATAAATAGACAATTTTATTAGCTGTGACAGAAATAATCTTCATGGGTCATTAACCAAAGACCTCATTTAAAACCTACTGAGTTTGATATTGTTAACTAGTATACTTTAGAGTTGGAGATTGACCAGCCAGATAAAGTAATTAATTTCAAACTCGAATCTCTTAATGTGGTTGTATCTTTTCAATATTGCTACTGTTTGTATTAATTTGCAGAATTGTAATAGGTACAAAGAGAAATGAAAAAGTTCAAAGAATTCTTAGAAAAATAAAGGTTGCTTTTTATCACAAAGTTAAAATCTCTGAAGACTGATTATTTGAAAAGTATCTTATAATAAAAGGTAACAATGAGATAGACTAAAACTAATATAACTGAAATTGCTTCATGTAAGAGAAAAAAGAATGGCTGATTGCAACTGAGTTTTGCTTGAATATGTCTTGGCTGATGCAAGAAATATCTGTTATAATTATTTTACTATGACATTTCAAATCTTTTCCTTTCAGACCATTTCCAACAGTTTCTAATCATTATCCAGATTTTTCAACCAGAGATATTCACAGAAATTATGTTGACTGTGTTCGATGGTTAGGCAGATTCATTTTATCAAAGGTAAATAGATTTTCTTTTATACAATTTTTGTTGCAAACCTAAGAACTTATTTTCTAGATGAGAATGATAATTCTGATGGCATGCACATACCATCACCACTGTAAATTATTGGTTTCTGATTTTCAGCAACTTTGTTATCTCTTATCAGTCCTCCCCGTCCCGTGCTACGTGCTAACTTAGTGATGCAGGTTTTATTATCATTCACCTCCACCAATGTCACTAACAAAAAAAAAAAAAAAAAAACTTAATCCGATTACAGATTCCAGAGAAAAGCTTCTAATAGCAAGGGAGATAATCACTTTTCAAGCAAGTATCAAGAGTTACTTTTCTTGATAATTAACTGACCAGGACAATTGCTTTTTGTACCAATTTTCTTTTAGATATTCAGGAAATTCTTTCCTCACCTTAGTTAAAGGTAAATAATATTGCATAGGATAATAAATTTTTGTTAACAAAATTGAAAAAGCTCTCAAATTTGATTAGTTCCATCGTTTAAAAAAAAAAAATTAACTTGTGGAACTTGACAAACATAGGGTAAATGCATAACTAAGAAAATGCTTTAATTTGGTAGATACCATTAAACTTGGTTTAGAAGCTGTAACTTATAACGGTGTTAGTACAGTATGTTTGAAACAACTGATTTCACAAATAGAAAAAGAATTAATGGCTGATTGTGACTTTGGATTAAAACAGGCTGCAGGGTTACTTCCCTTGGTTTATTTAACCTTTCATGTTCGTAGTTGGGTTTATTAAAGAAATATATCAAAATTTTCATTTACTCTAAAGCTTATGTATATAGTGACAGGAATAATAATAATAATAAAAAAAGGAAACCCTAACAATTGTTTTTGTAACAAACATATTTAAACAACATAGACAAGTTTTTTTACCTTTCCTTATCACTACCCATTAAGTAAAAATTTCCAAACTAAAAATTTGAAGGTTAAACAATATTTGTAATTTTTTTTTTTTTTTTAAATGATGAAATGGATTGCTGGTGGTTAGGAATTAATGAAAGATTGTGTGCGTGTATAAGTTTTTATTTTATTATTCTTATAAAAGAATAATGAAATTCAAGAAAAAGTTTTGTCATTTGGAATGTTTTTATCTGAGATTTTCGCCAAATATAAATTTTTGAAGCATGTATGTTAATGCATTAAGAATTTTATTTTTCTCCTTTCAAAAATCACATGTTTGATAACTAAACAAACCAATTGAATAAAAACTAAATGGTAGACTAGGTCATAGCACAATGGTTAACAATAATGAATTTGTCAAAAGTTTAGTTAACAAGGAAAATTCCTCTACATATAGTAAATAGGGTCCAAGCCCTTCCTCCATGTTTTCAAAGATGGGGAATTACTTACAATGTTTGGATTGTTATCAGGTCAGCGTTTACAAAAATTTACAAAATTCTAAAAAAAAAAAAAAAAATACAACCAACCAATTGTAATAATTGAGAAAATTTTGAAGATACTGTTATTAAAGACTTACCCTTCTGAAATATATTTTTCAAATACTTTTGTTAATTGGATAAGAAAAACTGAAGTTAAAAATTCCACAGTTGTTGAGTTCTTAGCATACACTTAGAAAATTTGTTCCATGACCACTTAAATATTTTTTTTTTTTTTTTTTTTTTTTTTTCCAGTCTTGTGAAAATTGTATTGTGTGCTGGAAACCAGGTCACCTCAATCAAACGGAATTAAAGCACTCAGATTCAACTACAACTATTCTACATAGATTTGAGTACAGAGAATGCGATATTTGGTACATGCGATTTTCTCTCGACTACTGGCAAAAGGTGAGGGATCCCACTTATATAGCTATGGGGTAAATAGGACTTTGGAAATAATGCAATATTCATGCAATCCAAATTATGTGTTGGCTTTAAATGACCCACAACGAGCTGATAAGCTGTATAAAAAAAAAAAAAAAAAAAAAAAAATCAAATCTTTCCTTATTTAGTGTCCCAGGAAATTTAACTCTTTCTGATTTTGAGTAAAAGTGTGCATAATGTTTCATCATTACTCACATGTACTGCCCATGGTATTCTTTGGTAGAACCTTATTTCTGTGGCCTCAACATTCACTGCCAAAAAGAAAGGGCTGATATTCTTTCTGTAAAAGTGCATGTAACTTATTATGTAAATGTTATTTTTGGTGGTAAAAGCACACTTCTGATGAAAAAAAAAAAGTTTGATTTCAGTCAGGAAGTCTCAATCTAGGCTGGTTGATATATTAAGAAAAAAAAAAAAAAAAAAAAAAAAGAACTTGTTGTGAGTTCAGGTTTTGTCAGGAGATTTGGAGCCTCATTGTTGTATCCCTTTACTGCACTGAGTTCAACTTGAGTTAAAATGTACTGATTGACCAATTACAGGGTACCCCCCCCAACATTTTCTTACAGCTAATTGAAACAAAAGCAAAGCATAGAACTTTAGTAGCTTAAAACAGAGCAAAACAAAAATGTTAGATGTAGTGTTCAAACTAAAATTCTTGTTGAAAATTTGATAAATAGTTTTAAAAAAAAAAAAAAAAAGATATTGTAAAATTTCCTTTTTTTTGTGTGTGTGGGGCACCCTGTATTTTGGTGGGTCTGAGAATATGCAGAAGTGGGGATATCATCTCACTGAAGGGGGCCATCTACTTAAATAACCCAACAAGAGCTGATATATCATGAAATCCCCCGCCACAACTCAATCTATTGTTACTATAGTATGTTACAATCTTCACTACAAACTTTATTAAAATTTTCCATTAAATCTACACCTTAAAATTCTAATTCTGCTAAATCTAAGTTCATTTAAAAATTCTAGGCAGTGTCATTCAGTTGTTGGTTTCTCTTGTAGTTGTAAAAAATGCCCTCATTTGCATATATGGGACTTAACTTGCAATTCATCTTATTTGAGCTGCTTAGTGCTTTTTTTTCTTTTTTTTTTTTAAATAACTACCAGTGGTTGGTAGATGTTGGTTTAGCCATGTTGCCTTCATGGTAAGGTTGCATTTCTGTTCCCATCACACACTTGTTGAGTTTTCATTTCTGCATAGCAGAAACTCAAAGGTTGATGGTTGTAAAGTCAGTATAAAAAGATTGTGGTGGTTCAGTTTATATCTCATTATTATTTGGCATGCTACAATAAAGAAAATCACCCTTCTTTATAATTACTTGCTTAATAAAAAGAAAAAAAGAAAAAAAACTTTTATTACCAAACTTTTTTTTTTCTTTTTTAAGGTTATGGCTCTAGGAAATCAAGCTGGTCGTCTGTTTGTGTGGGACATGGATGTGGATGACCCAACAATGTCAAGGTAATATTTTTTTTTTTTTTTGTGATTGATCCTTTTGACTTAACTTGCAGTTAATTTGACAAAGACTTTATTGATCACAACTCAGCTTCTAAGTGAGAAACACAAGTAGTATCCATTCTGTACCAAGAATACTTACATCTTTATTTAAAGATGTCCCTGAACATGTACAGTGGAACTATTTCTCCTTTACTTACCACCTCCCCCTTTCCCTGTGAGGCCTTTTTGACTAGCTTTGTCCAGGCAGCGGATCCAGATCTGTTATACTACAAAGTGAGAGACAGCATTAAGTGAGGTGATGGCTCAAGTTACAATCTTTATATTGATTTTCTGTTTAGTTTTTTTTTTTTCTTAACCCCATTTTAGCCTTCAACGTGCCCCCCTCCCTGTAAATATCATCTTAATAAAAACATGTTCATGCTTAAAATTTCAGTTATTGAGGCTTAAAGTTGCATTAAAGAAATTTATGCCTTTTCATACTAAAATGTTTTATTAAAAAATTTTTTTTTTTTTTTCCACCCCCATTTCAGGTGCACCATTCTCACCCACAACAAATGTGCTACAGCCATTCGACAAACTGCCTTCAGTCGAGATGGCAATATTCTATTGGCAGTGTGTGATGATGGCACCATCTGGCGCTGGGACCGTATCAAATAAACATGGCAAGTCTACTCACTAACCTGCCTCATCTGTTGACCCTGAGGAGGAGTCATAACACCTGTTGCTGCTGCCGTGCCTACCAAGCGTCCACTGCCAACCCCAATGGTCTCTTGCCATCTGCTGTGGTTCTGGGCGAGGCTGATACATGCAACCATGTCAGTTCAACACCTTCAAGTCACAGTGCAGTTTTATATTTCTTTATACATCTCACCCACCCCCATTTCTTTTTTATTATTGATAATTTTATTAAGATAAATTAAAAGGACAAGAAAAATAGTTCAATTTTTTTTATAAGTGTTTTTGTTCTTCTTAATGACTTTCTGGTTTAAATCAATTTTTCCACTGATATAGGAATCATTCATTCAAGAGATTATCATAAAAAAATGGTGACAACTTGGTGCGTGGAATGCTTCAGTTAGTACCATAAGGTTAAAAGTTATTAAATTTAGAAACCTGACATTTGTTTTATTCTTTTTTTTTCTTTACTTTTATAATCTAAAATGGTTAAAATAGATTTTATGTTTACTTTTCTTTTATACAAAAAAAAAAATTTTTTTTTTTTTTTACCCATTTACCATGCATGTTTTTGCATTGTTTAAAGATTAACATAAAAGTAATTAGGCCACAGACAAATTTTTCTTGGCACAGCTTGCTAACCTTGCTTTTTATTTGCCATTATAAGGCAGAACTGGGTAATTGTCTTTACATTATATATGTTTATATTATCCTCATATGAGTTAATTCTCATCTGACCCATAGATGGTGTAGAAAAGTCACATATATTGTTTCAGTGAAAGAAAATATGCACATGGAAAAGCATAGTAAGTTAGGATTTGAGATTTTGCAAAATCTAAATGTTTTGGCATTATGAATTAATTATTCTTGTAGGTATGGCAGGAGGAGCCAAAATTTCTATTATGCATGCAAGCTGAAAGTTTAGACCCGAGTCATTGTCAGTGGGTATGAGAATGTAATATATAACAATTTTTATTTTAACCTGACATTTAGTGGGTACACACATTTGATATCCCCATTTTTTTATTATTTATTTGAAGAAAAAAAAAAAATACTGAAAAAACAGAAATTGAACCTGTATTCCTTTTCCATGAGAGAAACCACTCCTATAACCTTATCAATTAGGTCAGTAAGGCAAGACTTAATTACCTACTTAAGGAATGCACATCATAGAGTAATTAATGTCAACAGGTGCCTAAGAAAATGAATAATATTAAAAAAGAAAAAAGCTTAGTAAAAATAAATTCACACACACACCCCAATGAAACAGTCACTTTTATTTTATTTTATTTTTTCCTTTGGCTCACATAAAATTAATGATTAGAATTCTCAGAGCAGAAGACTGGAAATAAGAGAAAAACAGCGTGTTTTTGTTTTTTTTTTGTACAAGATGCATAAAGATAAATATTGGAAAATCTTGATCTACATGGAAAGGATATATTAATAATACAGCAAGGATGTGTTTCCTCACTATTTAACTTGTCAAGCAAGATGATTCTAAGAACTTACCCTAACAGCATATATTACAAATATAACATTCCACTGACGGATTTAGAAAGAAAACCTAAATTATTAGACATGGTAGTTGATAAAGGAATAAATCTAAGGTAGAATGTATGTTTATGAGCAAAATGGTCAGTCCAAGATGTGAGTTACATGTTGGGGATGTCAAAATAAAGCAGATGTAGAAATTCAAATCCGTTATAAGAATAATGAAAAACATTTCAGAAACTAAGGTAGTTAGGTATGGGAGAAAGAAAAAAAAAAACATTACAAATGCATAAGCATAAAAGTGGTAAATGATCTCTGGTAGTGAAAACTGGACAATTTGTCGTTCTGTCAACAAATACACTGTATACTCCACAAAAATTGACATCATTTTAAATTTTAACCAAATGTGTAAAATGTAGTTGTAAAAATGCCCTCAGTTGACTGGACTTATCTCAGTGAGAATCTACCAGGAAGATGGACCAGGTGTCCCATTGATAATGACAATGTGCTGTTGAAATGGCTACCATGTTCACCTGACTTGACACCTTGTGATTTTTTTTTTTTCTATGTGGCTATATGAAATAATAATAGGTCTATATCCCTCTTCTTAGAGGAACTTAAGCAGAGAATCACAGAAGAATGTTATGCAAGACATGCTATGTTATGTTTGGCAGGATCTGGACTATCCACTTGACATATATCATGTCACAGATTTTGATTAATAAATCTTTTATTGTTCAACATGAAACCTATTTAATTTTGCTTGCCTGGGACTTGTAGTGACTCAGATATAAATGATGTCAATTTTTGGAGGACACCCTGTATTTATAAACCCATGGATAGTCGGGTAGCATTGTTAAAATTACACCTTTAAGTGCCAGCTCGAGGTGTGTTGTTGCTACTATGTCACTAGAAGTTTGGGATCTGAATAAATGACAGACTTCTTCGATGAATGACCCGATCGAATATGATCAGTATTCGGCCTGCACCCAGAGTGAATTTGCTACCAGCTTTAGGATGTGTTATATATAAGTTCTCCCAGAAAACGGCAACTAATCAAGTCTACACTTGGGCTATTTGATGTTATAGATCGGGTATGCTCGGTTGTACTGATTTTCCTATATGTGGTCAGGACAGTGTTTTATTTAGGAAAAAAAAAAAAAAAAAACTAATGAATATATATAATAATAAATCCAAGTTATTATATTGGCTCATCTTATAAGCTTTTGTTTCATTTCCTCCCCTTTTAAATTCTTTATTTCTTATTTGTTTGATTTTTTTCTCTTTTCATAACTTTCCCTTTTATTCTTAAATACACTTAAAAAAAAAAAAAAAAAAAAAAAAGAGTTTAAAATAGTTAATAAAACGACAGACTATTTACAAAAAAAAAAAAAAAAAAAAAAAAAAACTCCTAAAATACAGTATGAATAATTTGGGATATTGATTGATAATCTAATAAATGTTATTTTTCTTAGTTTTTAAATGAAAGTTAACTAAAATTGCTTAAAATAAATTAATCAAGATATTTACATGTTAAATACTAGTTAAAAAAGAAAACATAATAATGTTTAAGTTTTAGTTAAAATAAGTTACTTTGGAAAAAAAAAAAAAAAAAATGGGTAATTGCGAGGAAAGAAAAGGAAAGATTACGTGTAAAAATTATTTCATGTAAAATGCAAAGATGAAGTCATTGAACATGGGACTGAATGCAACACAAACGTCATCATGCAACTTGAATAAATTGCTTAAAAACCTGTCATTTCTCTGAAGCTTCTTGCCATCTATATATACAATTTTAACATATATATATATATATATATATATATATATATATATATATATATATATATATATATATATACATACACTTTTAAGCTTTTAAAAATATTTAGTGGTGGTATTTATGTTTGTCTACCCTGGAAACATTTGTATTTTTTAGCACTATTTATCTGCAACTACCTGGTGGCCTTTTCGACGGACTTCATGATCATTTCATTCATCTGCTTTTTTTTTTTTTGTCCAGTTATCCTTAAGCTAGTATGGCTTGTATCATTGACTGTCCAGCGAGCCCCCTACAGCTGATTTCAACCGTAAACAATGAGTACACCCTCCTTTCATTTTGCACTCGTCTAAGAGTCCTTGATATTTACTGTTTTCTCTCAGATGCCTCTTGCATATGCTCCTCACATGGGACAAAATAATCTTTCGTGGCGTCCAAGTAAACAATTTTATCTGGACAGAGTTTGGAGGATGATATATGGTTAGGGAATTTTATTTGTTTCCCCAAGATCGACCTTCATCTGCCAATCCAATGCAGATAATAACAGTGAATGGGATCCTGCAACCTTCTTACTTCGCTTTGAACCTGTTTTAATGAAGTGGATAGCTCTTCGTTGAGTTTATTGCTTTGCAAAGCTTCAGCAATAATGAGTGCTGTCGCCTCCAAAAACCTTGTCATGACGCCACTAGTAGCGCCTGTCTGTCAGAGCAGTTCTACACCCACTCAATATGTGTTGCAGTGATCCCCTCCCCAAGCACAAGGGGCACTTTGGGGAATTTATTTTCCCTCATAAATGTAGGTTGGTCGAACTTGGTAATATTTAATACACTATCTGAACCAGGAATCTTGTTTGGCTGAAGTCGGTATTCCAAAGATCTGACCATGACACTTATTACTGATCTACACTATCCCAACTGGTCCACGCATCCTGCTGGCTATAACCTGCCATTTTTGTCATCTGCTTTTCCTCCATCCCTGCTCTTACGTCGTCCTGTATTGTGTTGACGCTCCTTCATGGTGATTTTTCCGAATCTGTAGGAAGGAATCAGTCCCATGCCTGCTCTTCCCTGCACAACTGAACACACTATTGCTTTTATCGTCAGGTTCCCTTCTGCAATAGCCAGTTCCTTAGTTGTACTCCATCTTCTGCCCATCTTGACCTCAATTCCCACGCCTGACACTTTGGGATCTCTGGAGTTTCTATACTGGTGGGTTTCCCTTGTCCATGAAACCATGAACTCCTCGACCAGGCCCATGATTGGTAGTTGGATGGCATTGGATGATCCATACAAGACTGTGCTGCTTAAGCTCTGAGGTAATCCTAGCCATTTACAGAGGAAACTGCTAGCTCTCCTCTCCAACGTCTCCACAGTTGAGATGGGAACGCTATATGTTTGGAGTGGCCATAATGCTCGTGGGAGCATGCATTGATGGTATAGCCAGGCTTTGAAACGCCCTGGCAATCCGGATTTATCTATTTTCTCCAGCCACGAGTGAAAATCAGTGCGTATAGCTTCGATAGCTGGTATGTCCTTCAGAGCATTACAAAAAGATTTCCCTAGACTTTTAACAGTCTTATCAGCCAACGTCGGGATGGCTCTCCTTTCTATTGTGAAATAGTGTTTTACTACCTGTCTCTTTTTTTATTACCACTGATCTACATTTGTTTGGCTTGAAATTGATTCTTACACAATCAATCAGTCTCTCTAAA